CCCCAAAACCCCAAAACCCCAAAACCCCAAAACCCCAAAACCCCAATGTGATAAATCGAAGTTGATATTGAGTAGCATATAAAATAAATATGGAATTTGAAAGATCTAAAGAAACCCTAGTCAATACTCAGGCAACACTATGCCCTCAAAATGACAAGATTCCTCCACAAAATGAACTCTTGGAGAGCAGGTGCAAAGGAAGAGCGGGATACTCCTTGCTTCCGACCAATGATTTGAAGATTTTGGTCATTTCCAAGCCTTTTGACGAGGAATGTAATGAATACTTCCACAAGGTCCTCTCATTTTTACATAAGCATAGAATTGAGATCTACACGACTAAATCCTCCCTTGAAGCTGTTAAAGATGATCCTGTGATAAGAGATCATATAAAGCCTCAGATATATACTGATGATATTCGGATTAATAGAATCATCACACTCGGAGGAGATGGTACTATCCTGTTTTCCATAAAAATGTTTTATAACAAGAGCGTCCCACCTATGATCAGTTTCGGACTAGGATCGGTCGGATATCTATGATCCTTCGATTGTAAAGAGATGATAGATACACTTACTGATTTACTACTAGATCCTTGTTATAGAAAAAGGAAGACAACCATCGATGAGATTTGTCAGGTTAGACCAGTCAAAACTCTTGACAGCACACCATTCCTTGATTACAAAGATAGACTAAGAGTTACTATTACTTCTAAGAGTAAAAAGGAGAAGTTTATGGTAACATCCTCAATTTTTGAAGAGGATGAGAAAGAGTTTGATTCAGGATCATCTATCTGAGCTTTGAATGAATTTGCATTAGAATCTGAAGCCTTTTACCTCCCTTTTACTTGTGGAGTTTACGTTAATGAAACATTCCTGACAGAAATTACTGCCTGAGGGCTTATTTTATCAACATCAACAGGATCTACTGCTTATGGGATGTCGGCAGGAGGAAGTATTGTACAAGCAGGAGTAGAAGCAATTTGAATTACAGCTGTAAACCCTTCTTCCATATCTTTCAGACCCCTAATTCTGCCATTCAATTGTAAAGTGACACTAAAAATTCCAAAAGGAGTGAACGAGAATGTTATCAAAGGAGTTATTGATGGAGATTTTAAGTTCATGTGAACTGATGAAGACGAAATCACGATAGAGGGATCTTCAGATCCGATTCCATTCGTATCTAAAGAGGCTGACGACCCTATGACAAGTTGGATAAAAAGAGTTTCATCTACTGTTCTGAACTATTAATCTAATAAATTTACCGTATTCTGCTAGATTGGGGTTTTGGGGTTTTGGGGTTTTGGGGTTTTGGGGTTTTGGGGTTTTGGGG